TATTTCTTCAATGTTTCATATGCACACACATTAACTTTATAATCATCATTGAATAAACCTAACAGAAGCCTGTGGTCTTTTTTAACCCTGACCACACTGAAATTGTGCCTTCCAGCCTCTTCCTGTATGCCTACTTGCTTTCTCTTATCTTGACCTAAGTTGCTTCTGCATACTCCTCTGTCTTCCTTCTGAAAGGCTTGCTTTCTCTTTTTAAGCAAATCACTTGGGATGCATGGTTTTTATTTGGGAAGCATTTAACTGTTCTAGTACGGATGGCTTACCTACTGTTGGGATATATTGCCGAAAATCAGTTGTAGAAACCATCTGAAACCATCCCCCTTCTCTTCTCCACAAGTAAGAACAAGAACAAGAATGCACCGGCCCACTGTGGGAGGCGGCCACCTCAAATGGACCAATCAGCCAAATACTCCAACAGGAAGTGCCCCACGTCACTCATGGCACGGACCAATCAGCCGATACGCAGACAGGAAGTGCCCGCATGTCACTCATGGTTTAAAACCCAGCAGCAAACATTTTTCACTCTCTTTTTCCATGGGTGTAAAGCCCGCCAGGAGAGCTACTTCCAGTCAGAAGAAAGCTGACTGGAAGTAGCTTTCGTTTTCCTGCGTCAAAAGTCACGAATCGCAGTGTTCCATCGTGCATAGCGGTTGCGCCAACTGGGGAGACAGAAGCCTTTAAAGCTGACAGCGGAGTGAGTTTCATTTTCCCCTTTTTTTGGACGGATCGGCCGGGAGGACGCTCCTCGCCGATAACTTCCCCAAAATCCATCCTCTTTAACTCGTGAGCATATCAAGCCCTCTGCTGTAGCACCGAACTGACTGAACTTTCCCGAGAAACCCTCTGCGCGGCCGAAACCAAGCCACGGTTCCCTTGGAAACGCCAGCCTTCCACGGACGGGAAGCATCTCAGAGTAAAATCAATTTCCTTTCCTTTTTGATGCATTAAGGAGGTGCTGCGCTCAGACGAGAGACAGGCAGATTCAGGGATTTGAATTATTGCTGATTTTTAATCTGTGCTGATTAAAAGGTTTGTTCATTTGGTTGAAATAAGTGTGTGTTCTTTATTCTCTATTCTTTGCTTTCCTATCCTCTTGTTGTTTCTGCTTTGAGATAGTTATAAAGTTATCACATTCAGCTACGAGTGGTCCCGTGGTTGCCGCCATCTTGATTACAGATTGTTCCTCCCCCATTTTTCTTTGTTCCTCTCACCACGTGGAGAAAAAAGGGGTGGGGGGGGGGGTCCCTCATTTAGCTACACCCATTCACACACACAGCTACATTGTCAGGCAATGTGTTTTGCTAAACGACTTCTGCTGCTATTGTTAATACATTTCTAATAATTTTAACAATATTAAGCTGGATGTGTTAATTTTACATGATTAATTGCACTGTTATCATCATACCTGCTGCTGTTTGTTAATGCATTTAATCATTCGCCAATTTTAAGTTGGATGTATTAGTTTTACATTAATAATTGCACTGTTATCATCATACCTGCTGCTAATGAACATTAGTGAATGTATTAATATCTGGCATATTTTGGACAATCTCAGACGCCAGTAAACTGACTCTTATGGTTTTATTTCTTTGTTTTCTATCTCGTTTTATTCTTTATTTTTGACTTTTTTTAAACTAGTCATTTAATCTACCTCGTGTTTATTTTTCTAGTAGCATGTAGTGTTTTGCATAGATGTTAGATTTTCTGTAATCCTGAATTAGTAGAATAAAGACATCATTGGTTAATCTGTAGTGGTTTTGGTCGTTCATATAACGGAGGGTTTATCACTCAGGTTGAATCCCCCCCCTTTTGGTAATAGTGCGAATAAACAGAGATTGAAGGTTCTTTATTGATAATTTAATAGCTTTGCTGATAACTTAACCTGGGCCACTAGACTGCAGGATACCTGGATTTTAACAGCCGGTCCAGGAACCCTCCAGAGGTGAATCTGCAACCTGGTAAGTAGATAATTCAAGGCTACAATTATCCACCTAAGAACACTAAATTAATTTTTGCTTTCAATTTTGAATAGGATAAATAATTAACTATAGTTAACCATCTATTCATTATCTTCAGGACATAATTTTTGCACAACACTACACAAAACACATCTACACTGTATTTTGCACCATATTTATTTATATTCTTTTTTGTACTGCTCTGAACCTACCATATGAATGCTTGTTACACAATGTCTGTCCTACACTGTTAAAACTTTGATCACTATGGCACTTTATAAATGGAAATGTTCATTTCACTGTTAAGCTGCTCATTTACTGTTGAAAACCTGTGTGCATTGAGATTTGTTTGTATACACTCTGTATACAGTCTGTTTCCTCCATGTGGCTCATACCATGCAACCCAGTCTGAATGACCTTGACCATCATCTTGCATTTCTTTTTAATACAGATTATCTCTTACAAAGTGGCTTATACTCTGAGCAGAGAAAAACAAGATTGTAATCTGATTTCCCAAGAGGAGGACTTACTTCAGAGATGTAGGAGTCTTTGACATTTGCATAAAACAGGTCATTTGAATTGAGAAAGCTTCCTGGAGAGGTGGCGAAACGTCTTCAAATCTTGAAAACCAAGTCCAGTGGATATTTTTTGAATTTTTACGGAATGACATAAAACAGGTCCAAAATTTTGTTTTCTCTGACACACCAGCTGATAAATTGTTTGAATTTTGGTAATATAGCAAAGAGTGAGGTGTTATGAAAATCATTGTTATTGTTATTATTATCATTGTTATTGCCACAAATTCATTTGCCTGTTGTGTCTGTAGCTCAGCAACAACGGAAATGATTACCTCACATGCAATCTGGAATGTAAATGGTTACTAACAGAACACTGGTAAACTCTCTGGCCAATAATAAGGTCGGAAACCAACTGCCAACAGTTGAATATCTTGTATGCAGTGACAATTCTTCTGGGAAAGCCTGGCAGATACACCCTGGTGTCTGAGACATTAATCTGCAGCCACATTTCAGTAAAACACATACTGCTGCATTGTCGATATTCCTGCCAAAGACACAGACATCCATCCCTGTGAACACTGGTGATTTACTCAATGGTAAAGTAAATTATTGTTATTTCAGTCTGTGCGTATATTACCTGAGACATATGAATCTAGATGCTATGACCGAAAAAATTAGATTGAAAGATGACCATTGATATATGGTTGGCCAAATTTAGGTGTACAAGCTGATGTATAGGATAACGGAAAAAAAAAAAGAGATTTTAAGATTTTTTTTTTTTATCGAATTTTTCTAACTTTTGGAACAATATCATCTGATAGAGTACATATATATACATGTCTAAGCTAGAATGATTTAAAATTTAATAATTACTTCCCTACGAATTTAAACAGCTGCTCATGGCTACAAAAATTAACTTGCTATGGTTCCTGTGGTTACGCATCACAACAAGGATCCAAAAAGGAAAATATAAAAGTAGAAATTCTTCCAGTTACACAGAATTCAACACCAGAAGCAAAAAAAAAAAAACATCATAAAAAAAGAAAATGATAAACAAAGAGAGAAACTAAAGTTCTTGTAAAAAAAGGATATAATGGTCAAACTAAATCAAGAGCTACTTCAATATAGAGCTATGCAATGCAATGCTAGAATTCATATGAAAGGATTTCACAATGTTATTATGTTATACATCTCTATTAAATGATTCTGTGACGGACTACAACAACTTCACTGGGGAAGCTGACTGGAACCTTTCCTTATGTAGAAAGAGCAGGAAGTTGCATCTGACAATGTTGTATCACTGTGTGACCTTGTGGAAATCACTGTAATAAATAGATACCAGTTGCACAAGGAGGTGTGTGGGAGACTGGATCAACAGATGTTGATCCTGCACTTTCAGGAACATTTCATAACAACTACCAGAGGCCTCTCAACACATCCCTGTGGCCATTGCTGAAGTATCATCAATCTCCAAGAAAGACAGAAAGGGATGCAGATGCAGTACCAGGTGTGTGGGAAATGCATTCCTTCATGTGTAGGACATGTAAAACCCCCTTCATGTAATAGTGGGTATGAACTGTCAAAAGATCTGTAACTGCTCTTCAAATCAGATCAAAAACTGATCTTTGCTCTTTGCCTGTGATTCCATAATTGTAAACAATTTATTATAGATACGGTAAGCCTGTTCATGTTGTATTTTTGCATTTTGTTTTTTGCATGTTCATGAAGACTATTGTCTGAATTTGTGTTTATCTGTTATGACATTTAAAGATGGTAAAAAATAAATAATTACATATTTTGTTGTTCATAACACTTTTTATTGTTTGAACACTGTCTCCTGAACCTTTAAGTGTGCTTTTCTATGTATTTTTCTATTTATTTTTTATGCTTTTCTATATTTGTTTCTCAAAGGGTTCATAATGTAGATTTTATTTCTTTCTGTTTACAAAAGCTGGTGTATTTCAACAATCAAGTTTTGAAAGCACTGCAAATACATTTTATCTGGTTAAATTTTTTTTTTGAGAAAAAGCTGGAATGTTTCTGCATTAGTCATTAGTTATCAAGATATCCTTGACAATTTAATATTCATTGTTTTTTTTACAAATTTAAAATTAAATTTAAAATCTTGTTGTTGTCACCAGATTTATAGTGAATATGGGACAGACACCTAATATATATATATATATATATATATATATATATATATATATATATATATATATATATATATATATATATTATAGTGGTATCTCCTAAACAACCATCTGTCTTTACAATGAAAATAATACCATTAAAAAAGATATATAGACCTGTTTGATCCCTGCTAAAGTATTGTAAAAGGGAAATGCAAATTTCAAGTTGTTTTTCTTCTAGTTAAACATTAATAACACATTGTAAAACTATATAAAAAAGCAAACAGCACATCAGGTCAGTCAGTTCTGGAGGCACCATAAGAGAACAAGGATGAATTTTAGAGTGTGGTTTTTTGTATGGTTCTGTGGTTTAGCCTTGGCCCAGGATGGGTTGTCTGAAGAAGGAACTGAAACAAAGGCATGCTTTCCTGATATGTGCGAGTTAATCGAAGAGTTTGGGGCCATGAAAGCAAAGCAAGAAGCTATGGAAACAAGTCTGAAGGAGACTGAAAACCAGGTGCTAGAGCTGAAAAACAAAGGTAGAGCTGTTTCCTAAATTAATTGACAATGTATTGTTAAACATATGCTGGTTTCACAGCCTTTTATATCTATTTAGAAGCATCAAAGGTCGCATTTAGTGCTGCAGCTGGTGGTCGTGGAACTATTGGGCCCTACACCACAGATACAACCATGATCTATAATACAGTGATAACGAATGTGGGCAATGCCTACAATCAGCAGACAGGTGAGATAAATTATAAATTCTATAATACAATTCTTTTAATGCATTAATTAGAGTTTAAATATCACTTCCTACAGAATGACCTACTTGAGAGTTGGCCAAAGTAAGTTGTAAGTTGTAGGTAGTAATAAGCCCCATTTACACTACCCTTGAAAAACCGATCCATGCCGAGACCGGTCTGAGCTCGGATCAGTTAACCAGGCCGAGCTCAGTTCTGATGACCGTTTACACATCACGCTATCTCCTCGACTCCTCGCCTCCTAGTGACGATCTGCGGTATTACTGCCAGTATTGAAGGAGGAAATCAAGCAGTTAGTAGCAGTAATGCACCAAAAGTTGTTTGCCAACCGCCATTAAACACAAGCAGAAGAAGACGAAGAAGGAGGGAATCAAGCAAATCAAAATGGCGGCGCCCGTCACATTCAGAAAGTTATGCTTGATTATTATTGCTGTACTTCGGTGTTATTATTTAAAATGCCATTATTTAAAATTTTGTGTGGAGAAGATTTTGATTGTTGTTGTCATGTTGGCAAGAACCTAGCCCATATGCAGAACACACTGAGGCAGGAGAAAAGTTCAAAGGTTTATTTAAGGAAAGAAAATAATAAACAAGTCCAGGGTTTGGGAGACTGATCTGGATTTGGAGATTAGCTGAGCTGCAGAAAGGGGGGTTGAGCTGAGTGCAGGCAGGAGGAGAACTGAGAGCTCTGGCTGAGGCAGTCTGAGTTCTGGCGGGCAGGTTCCAGGTTTGGAACTCAGTACAGGCAGGAGGAGAGCTGAGAGCTGGGCAGAGGCGGTATAAATGCTGGCAGGCTGATTCCAGATGAGCTCTCTCTCTCTTGTGAGCTGGGCAGAAACTGTCTGAATGCAGGCAGGCAGACTCCAGGTTTTGATCTCTCTCTCTCCTGAGACCTGGGTTGAGACGGTCAGCATGCAGGCGGACAGATTCCAGGCTTGGCTCTCTCTCTCTCTCTCTTGAGAGCTGGGTTGAGACAGTCTGAATGCAGGCGGACAGATTCCAGGCTTGGCTCTCTCTCTCTCTTGAGGAACAGGCTGAGGTGGAGGCAGAGCTTACTGTGTGCTTGAAGGCAGATCTCTGACAGTCTCTCTCCCAATCGTTCTCTGAGGGCGGGCAGGCTGATTCTGACTGAAGAGGCCCTCCAGAGTTCAACTGAGATCGGGCAGGCAGATTTCCAGCTGAGTAAACTCTCCAGAGTTTCAGGTTAACGGGCAGGATCTACCTGTGAGGCAGATTGGAGAAAACAGGATCAGGTTCGGGTCACAAAAGTCAAAGGGCTCAGACAGGCAGGTTGGCTCAGGCTTTGCTAACCGTAACTGGCAAACACTCTGGCATTGGAGTGTTAGTCTCCTCCCCCTTAAGTAGGCCCAAGGCTGATGAGGAGATTAAAGACAGGTGTTGCAGGTAAGCACAAACCCTCAGGAAGGGATCCTTGGCGCCATCTGGTGGGCAAGCCTCTGGATCCCAACAGACAGCAGAAGCCCTCAGAAAAGGGATCCTCGGCGCCCTCTGGTGGGCAAAGGTTGTTCTTCTTGTTCTGTTTCTGGAGGGGCATTACCAACAACTACTGGAGTGGAGGGTGAATTGCGACGTGCAGCCAGACGGAGATGACTCGTTCTCCTCATGCACTCTTGTTATCAGAGAACCGAGACAGGGAAAAACAGAGCCGAGCCCACCTCTGGAACTGGTCTGCAGTTATCTCGATTTGGTTGTGTCTAGCTCGGTTCAGTTCAGTTTGCTTCCCATTTACACATGATAAGTTATCTCAGTTACTGAGCTCGGACTGGTCTTGGCACGGTTTTTCAAGGGTAGTGTAAGTGGGGTAAGAGCCAAAATACCCATCAGAGCACTTCAAAGTCAATGTGCCAGGGAATCCCCTCTTTACAGTTTTAATTGATACAGGGCAAGTCATTAAATAAGCACAGACAACCCACAGGTAACCAAGCCTTTTCAGGAGGGTGACCTGAAAGAGGCACTTACTAAACATTTATAAAGGATGGTGCAATCTGTAGCTAAGTTTATTCACCTTTAATACAGTTCACTTAAATCTGTAAAGGTAGACTTCCCTTCATCTTCATTCTCACTATTTGTAAGAATTGAAATACTCTTTTGTGAAGATTAAATGCAACTATTAAAGAAATACAATAAAACTTTGTTTCCACTTTATTTGTAGCCCTCAATACCAGAAATTGTTATCATTACCAATGTGAATGTGCAATTTGATATCTCAAAATTTGATCCATGGTTTACTCTATTTATTGACCTGTATATTTTGTTTCTAGGTATTTTTGTTGCACCTTTTGCAGGCATGTACTACTTCACCTTCTTTTATCATGCTGGAGGACAAGATTCTTCAGGTCTAGTCCTGGTGAAGAACAACCAATATATTATAAGTACTACTGACCATTCATCATCTGACTCAGCTGATAATGGAGGCAATGCAGCATTCCTGCAATTGCAGCAAGGCGACCAAGTATCTATCCGGTTGTATGCTAACTGTCATGTCTGGGGAAGCAATTATCGTACCTCATTCAGCGGTGTTCTTCTGTATTCCCTCTAAAAAGAACAAGTTTAAAGAAATGTCTTTACTATTTCTCAATAAGATTTGCATGCTCTTGCTAATGTTGCTGATAAAATTGTGTTGTATCTGGACACATTAGAATTAATTGAGACTTATATAGAATATAGGAATATGTTTTCAAATATTTTGTTTTCAAATATTTTGAAATAAAGCACATACCTGTCACATCTTAAATTTAACAATAAGGGAAATTTTTGCTACATCCACTACCAGCCATCTGACTACCTTGGTCAAGCTCCAGTATCCAATATACTTTAGGACATGAGCACACAAAATTTAAAATAAAAACTTTCATTCAGTTGCAAACTACAAGAGGGTCATCACATTTTGACTTGCAATGCTAGCAACAGTTATGGTATATACAATTATTACAAAGATAATCATTGTCAGATTTTTTTTTTTTAAATGCATCTCATACCTGTAATAAAGCTCAAAGTAATATTCCACCCCTGACTTCTTTTAGTGAATAACTTTAAAATAAATTCTGGAAAAAGAGAAACATCTTATTGACTACTTTGAAAATATTATGTTTAATATTTTATGGCCCTTTTGAATTCTTTATTGGTATCATATTTGTTCTGCTAAATCTTCTTATGTAAGTAAATCAACCCTCAAATAGGAAAATGTTTGGAAATCACCAACATGACTATAATTCCACACTCCATGTTTAGTAACTGAGGACTACAGCATTTTCCTGTTGCCTGATCTGCTGTGTAAATCTCAGTTCTGGCTTAGTTGCTTGGCCTCTGTGTTAGTTTTAGACCCACGTTAGATGCATTAGAAATGCTGGATTTATGTTACTTCAAAAATAAAAAGTGAAAAAAAAAAAAAAAAAAAAAACCTGCAATACTTCACTATTTAAATGTATATTGGAGATGTTCTTCTTCCGGGTGGATCATCAAAATAAGTGGTTCTCCTAATTGTCAATCATTCTGGTGATGTGTGTCAGGGTTTGGTTGTGGTTTGAGGACCCATGTGCAGAGGCAGGGAGGCAGAGGTGATTTTCTTGTAGATTTAATGAGTGGTTCATAAACAACTGAGGGAGGAATCCAAAAATCCACCAAGAAAAACTAAACAAACCAAAACCATGGAGACTTCAGGGAAAAAAGGTTCACAATGAGGTAAGACACAGTAAGACGGAGTTAAACAAAGTTAGACGAGGGACCAGCACTGAGGAACTACACAAGGAGAGAATTTCTGGCGAACTGAACAAAGAGAAGACTAACGAGCTGTTTGGAAGCAGGTGTGAAGAGAGCAGTCTAAGGAGCTAAGGAAAAAGAAGACCAACACAAGAGGGCAACAGAGGGCAACAAATAAAAACCTGACAACTGAAATATAATCAGAAAATACAACAAAATAAGATTTAAACCAATAAAACTAGAAAACATGGAGCAAAGTTAAACTGAATACAAAAAAGAAAACATAACAGAACTAAGACTGTGACAATATGTCTACATAAGGCCATCCTACATGTTCGTCCCCATTTTCACTTACCGGAGGTGAACTCTTTTTGGAAAGTAAGCTTGTATGAGCGATGCAGAAATAAACTTTTAAAAAGGGCGTGCATAAGGAAAAATGGGCTTGTGCATGCGCCTGCATGCATTTAAAAGTCATTCACTCTCAGGAGAGGATACAGAGTTGTGCATGTGCATTTTTTTGGAGAGGGCAGATCTTTGCAAAATTAAAAAAAAATCCTCTGCTATACCTTTAAGACGCACAGCAGTCCACAGCCAGGTGGCATCATCAATCATGTGATTCTGCTCTGACCTTGAGGAGAATTAATTAATTAAGTAGTAGTCCAGCACTTTGCTATTTTATTATACTTAACAGGTTGTTTTACTATACAGGTTAACATTATACCCTCAATTTGAGGTAGTGTTTTGGTTCTGTTTAGTTTTCACTTTGTGTTTTTAGTTAGGCTTGAATTTATGTTATTCTATTCTTACTGTTAAGAATTATATCTTTTTTCAATTACTTGTTTGGTGGTTTTTCAGTTATCTCCTATTCAGCAGTCCTTATTTTTTGCTACATTTTTATTTTGCAATTCATTCTTTACAGTTTCCTTCAGGTTATATTTCCTAGTTACTCTCCATTTTCCCCTAGTGTTACCTTCTTCCCATTGGTTTTCTTCTAGTTCTTTCTCTACACAGCTTTTCGTTTCAAAACTATTTGTGCATTCTAAGTGTGAATTTGAAGTAGTAGAGAGTGTTACATTCTAAGTTTTGTATGTGTAGAATTAAAAAACAAGTACAATTCTTTTTTACAACTGTTCAAATTTTGATTTTTTTAGTTCACAAATTTAGTACACAAATCCTGTTCTACAAGTTGTAACTATTGTTGCAAAATTATTTGTGCATTGTAACTTTGGTGTTTTGTAACTGTAGATTTTTTTAAATCTGTCACAATTACAAAAAAGTTATACCTCTTCAAGTTCTTGAGTACAAGTAGACAAATTGTGTTCTGTGAGTTGCACATCAAAAATGTCTTCCATTCAGTATTTCTACAGTTGATCCAAAACAAATGGTCAGTGTTGTGGTCAAGACCACCTCACCCGAGACCAAGACAAGACCAAGACCAGAGTGTATCGAGACCGAGACAAGAGCAAGACTTTTAGGGTCCGAGAGCAAGTGAAGACCAAGATCGAGGGAAGTCGAGACCGAGTCAAGACCAAGACCAGCACCAGTATGTGACAATAAAATGTGAAACATGATCAAAATCACTAAAATTGATCTAAAAGACCCACATTCACATAAAAACACCCAGAAATGTAACACACAGAACTGGAATAAACATAAACATCTTTATTTAGTGCTTCTGTGTAGTAATCACAGAATTTCAAACAATTAATCAAAGTCGATCAAAATAGTATTTTCTCTACCTTTCATGAACAGTACCTACATTTATGTTGTTTTTAAATGTGCTATTTCAAAACAATGTGCAATTGTGTAAAACTGAAAAAATGCCAATCATTTCTCTTGATT